AAGGCTTCCCAGGTAGCCGCAGAAATGAGGAGATATAAAATAGAAGTGTTGGGAATCTGCGAGAGCAGATGGAACGGATGTGGAAGGAGCCAACTACCAACTGGAGAGACAATAATCTACTCTGGTCACCCAGAGGACAATCATGAGCACACCGAGGGAGTAGCCGTCATGATGTCACCGACAGCAGCCAAAGCTCTCATGCAGTGGGAACCAATCTCCTCTAGGATAATGACAGCCAGGTTCAACTCAAAAAGAAAGAAGGTTACAATCATTCAATGCTACGCGCCTACAAACGTCTCAGAAAAAGAGAAGAAGGAGGATTTCTACAGTCAACTACAAACAGTAATGGACAACGTCCCAAAGAGCGATATCAAAATCCTGATAGGTGACATGAATGCGAAACTGGGAGGAGACAATACAGGAAGAGAACTCACCATGGGTCGAGAGGCACTCGGTGAAATGAACGAAAATGGTGAACTCTTCTCAGACTTCTGCGCCTTCAACGATTTGGTGATTGGTGGCTGTGTGTTCAAACACAGGGATATACACAAGGCAACATGGATTTCACCAGATGGACACACCAAAAACCAGATAGACTTCATTTCAATCTCAAGGAAGTGGAGACGGAGCCTTCTGAACACAAGATCGAGGAGAGGAGCAGATGTGGGTTCAGACCACTATCTAGTACAAGGGACTTTCAAGGTGAAGCTGAAAGCCTCGAGGATAGCTGGGGATAGGCCACAATGCAAGTTCAACACGCAAAAACTGAAGGACACAATCACACAGGACATTTTCACTACAACTGTCAGAGCAAAGCAGGAAACACTACGTGGCACCACTGAGGAATCATCCGTGGAAGACCATTGGAACTCTCTGAAGGTGACTTTCAACGAAACGTGTTCAACGGTTTTACGAAGAGAGAAGAAACAAGACAACGAATGGCTCTCAACAGACACTTGGAAACTAATAGAGGAGAGGAGAAAGGTGAAAGAAAAAATGATTCAATGCAAAGATGGACAAGAGAAAGAGACGCTGAGCTCAACTTACACAGCACTGGACAAAGAAGTGAAGAAGAGTGCCAGGAAGGACAAAGTACAATTCTACGACAACCTGGCTACTGAAGCTGAGAAGGCAGCAGGCAGAAGGGACCTGAGGACACTATATCAGATAACCAAGTCTCTATCCGGGAAGAGATCAACACAATTGAAACCTATAAAAGACAGCCAAGGGAACCCAATTACCAAGGAAGAAAGACAGATTAAACAATGGGCGGACCACTTCAAAGGACTCTTGAACCGACCACCACCTACAACCCGTCCAGAAATACCAACAACAGCACGTACACAACTGCGAGTCGACACCGATCCTCCAACGAAAGCTGAAGTCTTGAATACAATCAAGCTTCTGAATGCTGGAAAAGCAGCTGGTCCAGATGGAATACCCCCTGAAGCACTGAAAGCGGACCCAGAGACGACAGCAGATATGCTGACTCCATTATTGCGAAAAGTCTGGAAGGAGGGAAAGGTGCCTACTGACTGGAGGAAAGGTTACCTCGTGAAACTACAAAAGGAGGGCGACTTAGGCCTCACTCTGCAAGAACTGGCGAGGAATCATGCTCCTGTAGACGCCAAGTAAAATCCTGAGTCGCATCATTCTGGAGAGAATAAAGGACGCACTGGATACAGAACTCCGACAAGAACAAGCTGGATTCAGGAAAGGCAAATCATGTTCTGACCAAATTGCAACTCTACGCATCATCATCGAACAAAGCATGGAATGGCAATCAAACCTCTACCCCAACTTTATAGACTTTGAGAAGGCCTTCGACAGCGTTGACCGCGAAGTAATTTGGAAACTACTCGAGTACTACGGCGTACCCCAAATATTCATCAACCTTATTCAACAGCTGTAAGACAGCGGCACATGTCAAGTGATCCACAACGGAAAACTCAACGAAGCGTTTGGAGTAAACACAGGAGGCAGACAAGGGTGCTTATTATCACCAATGATATTCCTAAGTGTGGTGGACTGGATTATGCGTCAGACAGTGGGAAACGAGAAGACAGGGATATCCTGGACTGACGTGAAGAACCTAGAAGAGTTGGATATCGCGGATGATTTATGTTTGATGTCACACAAGATCGAAGACTTACAAGCGAAAACCGACAAACTCTTCGAAGAAGCAGCAAAGACAGGACTCCTGGTGAACATAGAGAAGACGGAGGTTATGAAAATAACCAACCAACAACAGCAACAGCAGCAACATCCAGCGCCAATCATCATCAACTGGAGGGATTTGAAAGAGCTTACTTCGTTCACTTATCTAGGGAGCATTGTCTCAACTACAGGAGGAACGGACGAGGATGTCAAATCGAGAATCGGGAAGGCGAGAAACACATTCATCAACCTGAAACAACCAATCTGGAAATCTTCGTCACTCAACTCAGCATCAACAACAAAATTCGGATTTTCAATACAAACGTCAAGTCAGTTTTGCTATACGGATCAGAAACTTGGCGGGTCACAAAGAATATTTGCAACAGGTTGCAGACCTTTATCAACAACTGTCTTCGTTCTATACTGAAGATTAGATGGCCAGAAAGAATCACAAACAAGAAACTATGGGAACAAACAAATCAGGAACCAACCGCTCAACAAATATGCAGGAGAAAGTGGAGATGGATTGGACACTCGCTGAGGAGGCCGTTGCGTGACATCGCGCGTCAGGCCACAGCTTGAGTGGAACCCGAAAGGGAAGCGGCGAGTCGTTCGTCGGTGCAAGGGTGACATGGAGGAGATCGTGTGAAGAGGAGTTGAAACAGCGTGGACTAACATGGATGCAGGTGAAAAGTACAGCAGAAGCAAGTGGAGACGTGTAGGTGAAGCCCTATGTTCCACCAGGAACCCAAGGGAACAATAATAATAGTAATAATAATGCATACTATTAAGGTAACACACTTGTTGACTTCTGCTGACCTGATTTTTTTTTTGTTTTTTTCTAAGTACTCATAAATCTTGTATTTCTTTAGAGCTCTGCGGTGGTGGCACATCGGTTAGGACGCTCGCCAACCATGCACATCGTCCGAGGTTCGATCCCCAACCGACACACACCCGATATCATTGGTCGGCCTGCTAAATTTGGTTTACCGATGTCACATGTTGAAAATTCCATACATGTACCAAAACGCTGTGTGGAATCAAGCTATAATAAAATAAAATAAATAGTAATTGCACATTTTCCTTATTTCCATGTGCATCCTGATTACAACTCACTTATTTTATTACATGACTCCAGTACACTTATTCAACTCCTCTTACGCACTTACTAGTATTAACAACTATGATTATGACAGCACATCACTTTTGTTACTATCCTCTTTTATGAAATATTGTACACAACTGCTATTGTACAGCTAAAGAAAATGAATTTGCCGAGAAAAACTTCTACACTGACCTACGTGGTTTGTTCTCACCAGTGTCTGGATGGAGATTACTCATGAATCGAAAACCTTCAAGAAAATCTAGTCACTTATTTAAATACGTGGCAAGGACATATGGTATTTACTTGCATAATCCTACTTTCATACTCAACTCTTTGAACAAATAATAAAACAGAAAAATTACGATCACATATTCAAACTTTATAAAGCATTGCAAAACATAAAATGGAATATTAAAACTAATTTTTTTTTTAAATTATGACACTAGGATGAATTTATTCTCACCACCATACCATATGTGATGTGCCAGTCTTCTGAAAATAGAACCAACGATTAAGACCTACGTGAACTGTTCAGAAGGTGAAGACAATCATTCATTTAATATAGGCTATCAGTGGATTTCGTGATGTGCCTTCCATTAGCCGAACATCTATGGATTGCAGTACATAATGATAACCTATCCCAAACCCTTCGTTTTAAATTCTACAGCGTTAGTGAATTTTCAAACCTGTTACAGATATCACTGGTTGATATTCATTTATACTTGTGATTTCCTACTGGCTTTACTCAGATAGATATGTCAGTTTCCTTAGCAATTGAGCATCCGACATCATACTGACATGAGATTCAGCTTGATGTTATACATAAAACACAGCCTAAGCAAATGCCTATTTTCGATAATTTCTCATCAGGCTCTATAATTACATAACAAAGTGTCTGTGATTAATGTTTTAATATGTATGGAGGGTTTCATCATGAGCTGACATCAGTTAGAGAACCACTGGAAAACCAGCTGGGAGTACTGGACAGCTGTTTCGTCCTAGTTTGGGACTCTTCAGCAGTACGCTATATATGTATTTGCTTAGGTTGTGTTCTATAATTATCGCAATGGTAATATTTAGATTGTTGATGTTATTATTTGTTCAGTAGTGATGATAGTTATTGCTGGTAGGTGAATTATTTTTCAATAGCAAGTACCAATGAACTGTAAATGTTTGAAAAATGCAGAATGTTTTCTTTATCCTTTTTATCTCATTTATGTTATCTACAAGCTTTATTTTACATGAACTGCTGTTCTTATATTCGCTTATACTTATTATTTTCTTTATAGTCAAATCGATAGATGTAACATAATTCAGCTGTTGTTGTTGTTGTCAGATGGAAAAAAAACCCATTCTCACCAACAAATTTTTAAGCCTAAATTTCCCTGTGCTAAAAATGCATCAATGAATGGAGAACACGAAATTATACTATTCTGCTCTTAGTGTGAGTGGCCATTATCCAGGTGGTTAAAATGGGTGTGAGGGAGTTGGTTCCAACTCTTGTATCCAATAGAATTGCAATGAATGTTTTTGTTCTATGCAAATAGTGTTTGTGATGGGGTGGGTGGTGGTTCGATGAATTGATGTCTACTCTGTTCTCTCTAGCTAAGCACGTTTTTCCATAGCATGTCCTCGACCTTGTGGGCTGACCGAATGAAGTGACCCTGAAAAGGGCTGTTATTAATTTTCTCACCCCTTGCTATTTTGGGTTGTTTGTTTAATGGCTTAGACTACCTATAAGAGCATTGGGCATGCAGCATGAGGCCAAGAAAATTTGTGCGCACATGATCACATCTATATTCTACCGCATTTATTTCATATTGTGCCACAATCTTATTTAAGTAAATTAACTATCTGCGATATGCTATGGCACGGCCAGAGTTTGGTAGAACTCAGGATATCCCTTTGATGAAAAAGGAGGAATTAAATAGCACATCAGATAATTACGATTTTTCCTCTCTGTCAACAACTACACCATCCTGCGATAATCATAAAGCAACAGAGGGAGATGAAGTCCCCCATTCTTTGACTGATATGTATTCAACGTCTGTAATGTTAAAAGGTAGTAAGTGTGTTAATTGGACAACTGCACTTGCACCAAGTGCCCAGCGCCTGGAGACTGATTGTTATGAATTAGTTTCACCCAAAAAAGTGATAGTAATCCCAAAACGTCGAGGGAGGTCACAGTCAAGTAGTCCAAATGGGAAGAGCTGCGATCGTCCTTTGGCTGATAGTTCAAATGATCCTAATAAAAGAATTAAACCAGATTCATCACCTATAGTAACAAGTCCAAACATATTTTCAGATGGAGCTTTCGACTTTACAACGTGCGATCAGTGTTCGGAGCTACGGTCTAAATCATTAGATTCCTGGATAGACCATTTAGGTGAATATCATCCTGTACCAATTCACTGGCCAAGTTCACGAGCTGCAGATTTGTGTCAAACGGAAAAGAGATACCCTTACACCACCGTCGTCGGTTCGAACAAGAAACGTAAAGCCACTGCAATCCCTAGACCATTGAACAGTTTTATGGTAAGTGTTTATTCATTTAAATGTATTCTAACGCTCTACTGATTGGCTTATGCTTAAATTGGACACTTTCTGTTTGCGTATTTCAAATATTGCCCTATTGCAAAATTATAAACAACTAATGGTCAACTCGTTTTTAGACTATTATTAATGTTCCAATGTTATTAGGTGGAATACTTATTGTTACTTTACAAATTTAATGTATAGAAAGATTGAAAGTCCCAGTTGCACAACTCACTATTATTTTATTTACTTAGTGACTAGAGTATAGGAATTGGTGATCAGAAAACATGGAATCTCTTTATTAGATGGGTTTCATAACTCAGTTGTTGATGTTATTGTAAGATGAAACATATCAACCTAAGAGGTATTTCGGAACGTGTTCGCCTACTGGTAATTGTAGTCTTATTACTTCTACCTTATAATTCATCTTTCTTGCAATAAACTGCCACTTGGTTACTGAGTGTAAATGTATAACTATAAATCCCAACACTGTGATTGCAGACATTACTCATTTTTGATTAAGTTCACGAGATTAGCTTTTATTTCAACAGCCATTAGCTTACACAAAAAAATGCCAAGATAGGTGAAAAGTTTCTGAGCTTATATAACTTTAACATTAATGAATATTCTAGAGAGTTCACTGCTCGACACACAAGGATGAATCAGTTCGATCTGTGCTTGACTCCACGAGATGATCATTTTAATAATCTTTTAAGTCATATCTCACTATTTCTCCACGGAACACTCCCATGATTCGAGCATCATTTAGCTCGAAACACACTACTTTTGTTCGAGGTTTCAGTCTCCCATCAAACTAAATCAAATACATTATTTAGTTAAGACATAGTTTGTGGAGGAAGTGCCATTTCTCTATCCATGCAATGTTAACAAAATACGAAAAACAAGACGGTTAACCTAATGATAATATTAATATCAGTACAAAGTTTGAGGATTGTGGATTAGATCAAATAAAATATAATTATATTTCAATGGTTTACACACAATGATAAGTTTCGTTATTGGTAATCTTGCTCGAAATATTACCAATAACAAAACTTATCATTGTGTGTAAACTATTGAAATATAATTATACTTTATTTAATGATAATATAATTCAGAGATTTGCCTGTATAATGATAGAATAGCTAACCTATTTATGACTCATACAGAAGTTTTGCTACATGGTCACGTGATGATGAGTCATAGAATGCTATCCATTAGCTGATTTCGCTGCATGTTAGTAACATACTTATTTTCCCAATCATTGGTGCGTTTACTTGATTTTTTCATTTGTTGCTAGGCCATTGAAATACACTAAGTATGCTGACATCGTTTGATTGTCATCCAACTAAACGACATAAATGGGCAAATTCAGTTTACGGTTGAATAGTCGGTTGCTAAGCTATTCAAATTGGATATATATATATATATATATAATTTTGTGGTTGCACTTAATTTGCCTTTGAGTTAAGATGGTTGCGCTATATATTTCCCGAATCGGCACAATTCGAAATTCATGGGCCATTGGAGGGGTCCCACTGGGTGCGTACTGTCGAAGAGTCCTAAACTAGGACGAAACAACTGCCCAGATTTTCCAGTGTTTCTCTAACCGGTGTCAACTCGTGATCAAACTTGCAACATAAATGTATGTTATTTTGGAAATAGATACACTTATCACAGATGAAGATTGTGTATATTTTGCATAAGAGGTTAAAACATCGAACTATACATATTTATAAGTTAAAGGACAGAATCTTGTCACGAAACTAATCTACACTTTTCATCGCTGAGAATAATAGGCAAAGAGTATGTATGAATGCACAAACGACTATAAACAGTTGAGTACTACTACTAATACTACCGTTTACAGAATTACTGATTATTAGTGAAAAATATAATCAGTCAATTCTTTGAAATAAAACTCCACATTGGAAAATATGAGTTTCTTAGTTAAGGTTCTCAGGAGATTTGATCGTTAATCGACCACCATTTCATGTGTACATATATTATGTGTAGTGTAAACATGATACCACTGACCCATTTTTATCCACTGTCTTGTTTTCACTCTTTTTTTATGGACCTTCATCATCCTAATTATTATTTTTTATTATTTTTGTCTTACGTCTCCCCTGTCATTCTACTGTGAATGAACTGTGTCCTAAGATTTAATAAGCTGAAGTACCATCTGTTATCATATTTTTAAGCACCTACGGTGTGACTTCTTATCAAATGGAGTAAAAACATACAGAAAAAACTACAGTTCATCTTATGAATATTCACCTGACAGCATGAAGCATGTTGCTAGGTTATACAAATATATCTAAATAAATGCGTTCAAATATTAGTTTATTCACTACGATGTGTTTTTGAATAGCCCAGTAACACTTTATACCGTTAGTCGAATACTGTTTTCAAGAAATTCTAAGTTTTATTGTAGTATCGGATTTTTGTTGTAGTTTTTGCAGATATCTTATTGATAAAGACATTTAAACATACGTGGATGAGTTCAAATTTCACTCAGGCAGTAATGTCTATACTTCTTGTATTGGTAAAGACCGGTGGTTTCATTTTGACTGAATAACATTTCGCACTTACACAGACAGTTGAATACATGATGGGAGCGATTGTCGGTGAATGATGAACAACTTTTGTTCAAAACTAAATGTTCACTAAAAAAAAGAGATCCAACGGTAAAAATCAATAATGGGTAAACCCAGACAATGAGATGAATCTACAAAATCTGACCCTATTTCCTTCTGACCTGTATGATGAGGTGTGTGTGCAGCATAACCCATCAATATGTTGGAAATCATTGGTCAGTGGTCTTTGATAATGTGACCCCAAGTTGATCATGTTAATGGTGATGATGATGGGGAGGAGGATGAAGTCACTCCTTATCAATTTTGAATTCATACAGGAATAATTTTATTTGATATGGCACGCAATGATGCAGTATTATTTGCGTACTAATATGACTATCAGGAATAAATTGTGTTCGGAACGTCAACAGTAAATAAACAGTACTCTATCACTGTGTACGACATCACATAAAATTATCCTCCAATATCTGTGAAAAGTTTGTGCAATGTGGAATAGATTAATTAATTTTAAAAGAGTGGTTACTGAACAAAGAATACTCTTTTCGATAACTTCATCATCAGGCTCTACAGTTATATATACATTAATTATACATTATGATTAATTTTAATTATAGCGATTGATTTGATAGTGTGGGAAATTCCCATTGTCTCCCGTTTTACAATATTTTGTAATCGAATTCAGCCTAGCACGTTTGTCACTCAAATACGACTATTTATTTTGACACCTCATAACTAATCCGTTATTCTACGTTAAAAATGTATCTGCCGCATAACTGGCCTTTATTGTAACGACAACAAATATTATGTTTTATAATTGTAAGAACCTGAAGAGAAATTATTGAAAAGAATATTCTTCGTTCAGATTGACTTTTAATTTATAGCGATTGAAATATAATTATAAAATTATTCTATTATGGAATTATATTTTACAAGACTGCCCGAATTCTACTCTTATTACTGTCATCTATGAATTGTAGCACTCGCTAACCCTCACTTAGCTATCTTCTTTCCACGTGTGTATTTTGTTTATCTTCATGTTACTCTTTGTATGCTTCGTTATTATATTTTGCTCACGTGCAAGGCTCTCCACTGATTAAACTATCCCTTCTCCAAGATTATCAGTATTATTACCATCTTATATAATTTTTTTTCCGAGGTAACGGTGTTGGCATAGTTTTTTCTTTATCCTCTCTATTGTTAATGTCTTTCCGTGATTCTAACGTTAACGGCAGTAAAGTTATTAGTGCTTGTCATTCAGAATTACTTGAGCGATTTTCATGAATAAATCGGTTTCAACATTCAATTAACCATATTTTTCTCGATGTAATTACCACTAGGAACACATCTGAATTTATTTTTGATGGTTCTCGTTCGACAGGCAGTAAGTGGTGTGTGCAATACAATAATAAAATTTTGAATCCCATTTCACGGATTAATTGTTTATTCAGTAGTTGTGACGACAAACTGAATAAACGTGCTTAAAACAAAGCAACAAAACAGACGACAATTCGATTCATCCAATCTAGTAGGAATTTCGTGTTCACAGACCGAGGGATGTTCACGCACAGTTCGATAACATTTTAGCAACTTTTATTTAACTAGAATGGAGATTCGAATCACCCTGAGAGTACTTTTCATATAAAAAGTTACTTCTTGAATTTCACTTCAAAGCATATTTCTGATGATCATTATAATGATGTGATTTTTTAAAACTGTGATTTTATTTAAGTTAACAGCATTTATAATAGAACTACCAAATAGAAAGACAGGGGTTTAGCTTTAGTTATAGTATGTTAATATCTGCAACTGTACTTATGATCATGTACTTGGTCATAATAAGTCACGCACTTTGCGAGATATAATATTACTGTCTGGTCTCCAGAATCTCAGAAGAAGTAGGGGGGGGCTCGAATTCGTTATCCATTGGTTAAAATTTGTATGCTCACTCTAATCAACTATAGCCCATAAACAGGTAGCAAAGGGGAACTACGTCACTGAATATGAACTGGTTTAACATTAATCATAGTTTTGATACTTTCCGTTTACTTCACAAATTCAAACAGGTTTACTGAACAGAGAAGAAATGGGAAGTATTCAGAATCTAAATGAAGTAACGATAAGATGATCTGAAGAGATTATGTTAACATCTTTTCCTCTTGCAATCAGGAAACTGTTTAAATAAAAAAGACTCAAAACCCACTTTTGTGGATTACCTCACATTAGTTACACGTGCTACAAATATCGTCATGATCATTCATCAGACAGGTTATTTTACACAATTTACTAACTATAAGATTGTTTTTTTAGATATGAACTTTTGAACATTTCCTTAATAACGGTTATTCCTAAGAACTGAGTATTTTAAGGGTATTCTGTTATCCAGGATGTTTGGTTAGATTTTTAGTGTTAAAAGACGAAGTCATACTCTTGTTCTAATAGGCTAATTCCTTGGAAATAATCATGCATTACCAATATGTACACGTTTATCAGAGTTAAATATTTTTTAAAATTAAATTTCATAAGATTATAAAACTCCGGGTCGATAATCCAGTATCCATTTTTTTTTACAAAATTTCTTCTTTTGTCAGTAGCAGTGTTTGAAACTATGAAAATGGAAAGGCATATAATTCTTGAAAAAATGTAGTCTCCATATTGTGACATCATTCTAGGCATGAGCTAATTTCTTTGTTTGTTTTTTTAATTGTACGTCAAAGTAAATATTTGTTCACTATGGTGATAAGGAATAAATTCTCATATCTGAAAAGTTTAAACTTTTGTGTAAGATATGTCAGTGACAATGAAGATCAACGCTAAGGTTGAAAAATATGATCATACTAACCTGAATACATCATACAAATAGAATTAGTTCCATATTGTGCATATTACCAAAGAATAGTAATGGTTAGAAGCCATCGACACTAACCAATAAGTCTTTGTAATCAGATGTGTGTAACCAGAGTGTATTCGTATCCCTATTCAACTCTTCGAAGTCATCTGAATTTTTGCCCGAAACTGTGATACACACTGAATGACGCCAATTTTCGGAAAAGTATACGTCGTTTCTTACTGTTTCTTACGTATCACTAAAGTTTGGTTTTATGCATTTATTGTTTCACATCTGACTGTATTTGAGTATTAGACATCACAGTGACTACATGATAACAGAGTGATTTGCTCAAGTGAGTATAATGATCACAGTGAAACAGAAATGCAGTTCAATCATTGTCTAGTTATCAGTGTTGACCGCCAATATCTACTTGGTGGAAATAGTTTAACTAAAACTTGCTTTTAGTCATTTTATTTGTTTGAAATAATCACCAGTATGTTGCTAGACTATTCATTTACAAAGGGATGATTTTGTCTAGATTCCATTCCGTGTATGCTTTTCGTTTTATTTTGCTGATCATTATCCCTGATTGGTTTTTTCCATATATATATATATATATATATATATATATATATATATATATATATATATATATATATTCTTTTTACCACTATAGATTTTCGCACAATACCTACGTAGACTCATATTACATTGGTTTCCTAATGCACCTAATGTGCATATAAGCCAACGAGTGGGACAGTTATGGAAACAATTAGATACAAAAATGCGTAACAAATACATTGATGAAGCCTCTCGTTTACAACGGTTGCATGCTATAGAATTTCCTGCTTATAAATATCGACCCAGAAAGCGTACACGAAGTGGGAATAGTATTGTCATTAACAATAATAATAATAACAATAATAATAAAAATGATGAACTGATTTCCAAATCGAATGTAATATCCGCCAAGTCAAAGTCTAGGAGACTCAATAATGATGAGAATTCAAACTGCAATCTGAAAAATTCACTTCATCAAGATTATGATGAAAATCGTAACTGCCATCATGCACAATCACCAGTTCAAAAACCTGAAAAAGTCACCGTCAATCCAGTTGTCTGCAATCGAGACTATTCTCAGTCATGTTTACAGCTGAACAATAGATTGAATATTGAATTAAAACAACCAGTAGAAGTAGGTTGTATCAATAATCAATATGATACACGAGGATTCCTGTCCTCTAATTTGAAAGACAATTTTATTTTCAAAGAAAATAAAGAGGTTGACGAAACAATGACATTGTTAGTTTCTGGTGGTGGGAACACTGAACACGGAAGAACTTATCGGTTACATAAAATTATTCCATGTCGTTCTGTTGATAGAATAAGTGAATCCTACATTTCTCCTACTCCAGTGAATCCTGGAAGTCAAATTAAAGAAATAAGGATTGTAAATATGCAGTCTCAAACCGTCCAACAACTCTTAAATAGACAACCAATCCTGTGTCATACTATTGTATATGAACCTCTTAAAGCAACCATTGTCAGACCTACTGTTGTCCCGATCAAAACAGACACTGCAATATCAAATAATTTATTACTTGATACAAATGTAAATAATTTAAACTTCCGACCAGTAACAACACAGTCGACCATCACTACCACTTCCTTATCTCCAAACTCATCTTCTACAGTTGAATTCGACTACAATATGCCCCACTCTAATTCTACATCAGAAGTTGATTTTGAAAATATTGATTCTCAGTTTACTGGTTTAGCAAATGTAAACAATAATAATAATACTAATACTGCAAATTATTCAGGGGAAAGGCTGACCACAAAACAGCCTGGACTGAGTAGTTATGGATCCATCAATCAAGAAGTTGTCATAAGTGATGGTAATATTAGTAGTAAGAAGATATTTATTGTTAAGAGTAATACTGGTCTATGTGGATTCGATGAAGTCGACGGAAAATCTTTTACGCCTGAATCCCATTGTCAACGAAATATTGGTTCATTTTCAGGCAGTACAAAGTTTAAACGTGAAAACGATGATGTTGATACAACACTTAGTTTCAATGACATTGATACATACAAGTCAGGCGCTTCTCTTGATGATTTAGAAGAGATAACCTTGTTCCCTTGTGAAGCTGCTAGTGATGGTTTTCAGGCAACGGATGTTCCAACTGATTTCAGTGAGAATCCTTCCTCCTTTTCAAAGTTAAATAATATATCCAATTATGAACAAGTGCCATCACCATTATATACAGATACAACTACATGTACGAATACCTTAACACAGATTAACAGTTTACCGAGTATTGAATCCTGGACGTTTGGAACATCAAAATCATTCTGACATAAGTGGAAGTTTGTCTTTCTTTTACAAATGTTCCCTTTTGATTATTGGGAAAGTGAAATCTTTTAAATTAACACTTATTTTATACAATGCTATTTAATGACAAAGACAATTTTTCTATTTGTATAATTTAATATTTTTACAAAAATGTTTTTAAAATGGATATGAAAGTGTGAGGAGAATGAGGGGAAAGGTATTTTTCCAGCTCATTTATTTTACACTTTGGCGTCACTATAAACATAATGATTTTCCCTCTAAAGCGATATGACATCCATTTTGCCTTTCTTACTTTTTTAATCTGATATGAATTTATAATTTTTCTATATTTTTCTTGCTATCTGTCAGCCGGTGGATAGGTCATATATAATATGCTATTTATAATATAAGTTTTTATTTTATACATATGTATATTATTTGATTCATTGAAAAGTATGCCAACTTTGCATATTCTAGAATATTTATAGGCGAAATTACGTGTAATTTCATACATTTATAGATAAATATTCAAGCTACTGAAAAGATAAAAGTAGTGTCATTTTGTTGGGGCGATAGTTTAGATCAAATAAATGGGTGATTGTAAAGAGTATCCCAAAGTTCATTACATTAAATGATAATTTACTGGTAGGCTTCAGAGATTAATATATAAAATTACATCTTCACTGTTTCATAGTAGTATATGTGGCTTATTCTATGAGAAACACTTCGTCTGCACTAATACCCTACTGACAGTCATCCAAACGTGTATTTTAGCGATATGCCACATCATCATGGTAGCCTACATCTTAGGCAATGAACAAATCTTTACTAATTAGAAGAAATCATCTGAAAAGTGTGCCGACTGGTGAATAAACAAAAGTAAACCGGATTTAATAGGTGGCTACTCTCTGTTAACGGCTACTGTAATACGGTGGTTGAGTAAAAGGCTTTTTGTGTCCTGATAAATCATCAGACACTAACAAAAGGAAAGACAGTTCGTCATATAAAATACATTAATTTACACACGACTCAACTGCTTCATTTGATGACACTAGCCGCTGTTATCAAAACAAAAATCCAACCAAAGTTTTATCGAGACGGCATATTGATTACCTAGTAACTTTTTGGTGCCAGATACACAATATTTGAAAGTGTCATTCCATGTTTTGATTGTAACTGAACACTTTACCGTGTTTCACACTTGAAAATATCAACACTCAAGAGAATTAAGTCAGTAAGGGAGTAGCAGTCAACTGTATGCATTCATCAGGGAAAGTGTTGATGAAATTAATTCGCCAAGCGTAACAGCATTTTTAAAAATTTAAGCTCACACTAGTTCACTTGTTGATTTAGTAGCCATATTGAATTTCGAAGATTTCAGTTTATTCTGTATTACGTTTGCCTTATGACTAAATGCACAAGTTTACATGGTGGGGTGATTATATAGCTTATTCCTTTTTGAAGTGGCAGCACTTTTATTCAATGGGTATTAGTGTAAATACGCCGAAATACACTACTATAATTTCATGAGTTTCCGAGAATAGACGTTTAACCCTTGAACTTACTGCCTCCATTTAATACGCTACATTTCGCAATCTTCGCAAGGACCGTGAACAGTGGTGGGTGACAAAAGCGAACGAGATGGAAAAGGCATCGGCGATAGGTAACACCTGACAAGTATTTAGACTTATCAGGGAAACAGGTGGTAAAAGGCAAACGATAAGTGAAACAATCCCCGAGGAAAATGGCACCTAAATTAGCCCTCAGGATAGACGACTGGAAATTTGGAGGGAACATTTTGAGGAGTAATTTAACTGCCCTACATTCACGTTCCACTTTAGCCCAACACCTCCCTGAAAGGGGTATAGACACAGGTCCTCCATCCCTAACCGAGATTACTAAGGCTGTCACTAGTGTGAAACGAGGCAAAGCTGCGGGACCAGATGGAATGACTCCGGAGGTATTTAAGTACGGTGGAGACAGTTTACTGTCTGCGTTAACTAAGGTACTAGGCAGCATCTGGGAATCAGAGGAATTCCCGTCGGGTTGGTGTAAGTCACTGATTATCCCCATACACAAGAAGGGAGACAAGTCTTCATAGGGGGATTAGCTTGACTAATATAGTATCTGAAGTTCTAGGTTCAGTAATCATGTGTAGACTAGGTGGTGCTCGAATGCCGCCTTTAGGTCAAGAAATATAACGATTGACCGTCAACCGAGAGGTTCCCTGGCGATGCTTGGCTGTAAAGGGAATGCCGAGAAAATACATTGCACTGATCAAGGTACTCTACTCGAACTCATGCAGCCAGGTGGGGACTTACAACGAGTTGTCATCTGAAGTGGTGAACGTCAGGGATGCCCACTATCCCCATTTCTATTCAATTTCATCATAGATGTACTAATGGATTTAACCCTAACTCACTCCAGCGACTCAGGGATTGACTTGTTGCCAGGGTATAATCTCGTTGACTTAAAATATGCATATGATATAGTCCTGCTCCTAAGTGAAGATGCTGACAAAATGCGGCAGAGTCTTCTGAACACCTTGAGTTGCAATCTACGAATGTTTGGAATGCGATTCGCTCCCACCAAATGTAAGATAATGCTACAGGACTAGTCTGGACTACATTGACTCCTAGCTTAGAAATAGGGAGTGAAGTCGTTTGTGGGGAGTGTTGACCACTTCACTTATTTGGGGAGTTGCATCACTCAACTCCAGTGGGTTGATCGCTGATGAAATCTCAGCATGGTGGATACAGAGGGCTAGTCTCGCTTCTGCTAGTTTACGTGGTCTCTGACGTGGACGTGAAATCCGGTTGGCTATTGACCAAAGTGCGTGTGTACCGCTCATCAGCAGTCCGCTGTGTCCTCCTTTATGGCTGTGTGTGAGACATGGCCATTGAGAGTGGAAGACATGAAGTGGTTGGCTAGCTGTCTTTGATCGTGGGTGACTGCGTTCTATCTCCCATTTTGAGAGGTATAATAGGGTGAGGAATATTGAGGTGAGGCCTCGGTGGAGTGCTAGGCAAGGAGGGAGGGGAAATCAATCGACGAGGCTGTGAAGCATCTGCATCGGTTGAGATGGTTAGGACATGTGTTACGTATGCCTAGTCATCGCCTTCTTCGGCAGGCAATATTAGCTGACATAGTACGGATCAGGTTGGAAAAGAGCTAGTGGTGGTCAAACGAAAACATTGCTTCATTAGTCAATGAAATCCACAACAGTTAGTTTAAGCCAGCCACATCGGGAGTTGTAGACCGAATGACTGGTTGGGGTCCTCGGGTTGGTAAAAACCAATGTCTGGAAACAATCAGTGATATAACTCAAACTCGTTCTCAATGGCTTGTGCAGATGGATCCACTCCTTGTCAAAGCCTTTTTGTTCTTCCATATTGCTATTCTTTATCCTTCGCATTTCTTTTTTTTATCTTTCTCTTACTTTTGTGCCACTTGGAATGTGGTGACTTGAACTGCAGCACATCTGTGCAAAGTTCTGCGTTGAAGGAAGTCAGTCATTGCGCAGTTATCGGTATCAAGCCACATTTTCTGGTAAAAGTGCAGTTAATGTAACTCAATTGAGGAATATAATGCCACGCATAATATGTACGTCATAGATTTAATAATAATCATTTGATGGCGATTACTGTGGCAAAATGTAGCAAGCTAGATTTCTTTTGCTTGTTGATTATCTTGAAGTTCTTTAGGTTGTCCACAACATGGCCAGTGCACATGGCGTGTAATCTTACAGTTTAATGACTGTCAGCCCTTTAGTCTCGGGTTGTTTGCTCTGTGTTCTGGAATGAGAACATTAACACTTCTCTCTGTTCTTCTGATGCACGTGCTTTGGCGTGTACGTGTAAACTGGTAGACACAGATGGAGGTAACATGTGGTGGGAGTTTGTCCACTTTTCACCATCTTAAACAACTGGTCGTTTGGTAAACACATACAAGCTTGATGGCCGGATATGTTCTTTTCAGGGCAGAGTTCAGTCTACCCTGCGTCACATTTCAAGGCAAGCTGTAGAAAGATGGGCTTTTTCCCTACTGTGTTGTACTCCACCGTGTCAACACTACGTTTTCCATGTTTGTCTATGAACTTCTGTGGGTAACCATTATCACGCAGGCATTTTTCAAAAGTGGATAGTTTCTTCTCGACCTTTTCTTCTGAACAAAGCTTCCGCACATGATCAAACAGTGTTCTTACCAATCCCTCTTTTTAACTTTTAGGGAATAAACTTTAGCAGTTCAGGTAAATCACCCTCCACGTCTATTTTCTGTGGATGTACCTTAGGATCTTACTATATATATCACGCTGGATGCCAACTTCAAGAAAGTGAAACTTGTCCTCATTTTCACACTCCATTGTAAACTTTATGTCAGCATAAGCACCACTAGGACGTTTAGTTTTTTAGATGCATCAATAAAAAAATCACAGTTCACGAACTTGTCAACAAACCCGGTATAGAAGTCCGTCTGATCAATTGCGGACTTCATTCTTGTTTGTTCCAGGCCGCCCATGAAGAAAAATAACTACCATAATTGGATCCAGAGGACTTCCCATAACGACTCCATTAGTTCGGCGGTATAGAACAGTGTTGAACTGAAACTGTTCGTCCTTGGTACATATTAACAGCAGCCGTTTGAGTTCGTTCTTCGGCAGAGGAATGAGATCAGTATGTTGACATATAATCTGTAGTTTTTCTAGGGGGATCTTTGTAAACAGCGAAGACACATCAAATGACACCGTGAATTAATTTGATGTGATCAAATTCTCTATTTGTCTAGCAAACTGAAAAGTGTCTTCCAAGATGTAGACAGCTAACTTGGCACCGATTGGCTCTAACTGTTCTACTAGCCGCTGAGCTGCTTTGTGATGAGAAGAATTAACCAAGGACAGTACTGATCTCATGGGAACGTTGGGTTTATTCACCTTAGGTAAACTGTATGGGTAGGGTAATTTGGATCCTCTAGGCTTCAGTTCATTATGTGTGTTACTATCAATCAATTTATTTTTCAAAATTTCTCCCAGTTTCTTGGTAATCCGTCTTCCCACTGATTCAGTCAGATCTTTCTTTGAATGATAAGTCCCGATTTGGTTATTATAGAAAAACATTTTCTGTGATTACGTAACCTATTACCTGTTATATTCTTTCTAGTTAAACTTTGCTTCTTTTGTTTCCATGTATAATCATCTAACTTTCTTTATAAGCGATCAATCCTTTTGACTATTTAACAACCTACATCATTTTAGACTAATGTTACTCTTAGTTCCCACCAATTACTCCTTATCATCGAGGAAAAAGTATGTTCAAATCTTTCATGTAATTTATACATTTCTTACTGTTGAGTTTGTAGCCAGTTGAGAAGAATCCTCGGAATAATAAACAATGAACTCA